GCCCCACAAGCTCTCCATTGGCTCCCATCACCTTAGCATTCCCAACACCAATCACAGGGAGCAAAGCACCTGAAGCGGCAGCCACAAACTTGATCTTCCCAGGAGGTTTTACCTCATCAAGCAAATCTGCCCGTGGGGTCATATGACTCGTGCAACCTGAATCGATCACCCAGTGAGTGAGGGGGTGCATCACAACCTTCCCAACTGAACCCATATCACCCCCACTCCCTTGCACATCCTCAACCATGAGGAACATCCCAGGGTCGGCTTTACCTTGTGCACCATCACCTTGTGCACCTGATCCTTGCACAGCGCCACCGCGTGCACGTTCACCACTTGGCGGCTTCATGCCTGGAGGGGCCCATCCCTCAGGCCGGCTGAAACACTTGAACCACGGGTGTCCAGCCTTCTTGCAGTACCAGCACGCACCCTCCATTCGGGTGCTCCCCCTACCACCAGAGCTCCCATGCCCCTCATTGTAGTCACCTCGGCCTCTCCCTCTGCCAAAGCCTCTCCCACGGCCTCGGCCTCTCCCTCCCCCTCTTCCTCTGCTGCCTCCTGCAGCTCCATACCCCTCAGCAGTTTTGTTGGCAGCACCACCTCCCGTGTGGCGCCTGCGGAAGTCCTCTTGCAGAATATGCTGCCGTAGCCACTCAGGCGTCCATTTGTCCTGCTGAACGTTGAGGGTGGGGATGAGGTTGTCCCACGAGTTGTCGAGCACCGAGATGATCTTGGTGCACTGTTGCATCTGCGACACTTCGCTGCCCGCCGCTGCCATCCTCGCATAGGTGTCCTTGATCTTGTCAAGGACCGGTTTCACATCATCTCCCGGTTTCATGGAGAGGGCAGCCAACTCCTTCTCCAACACAATCACCATCGGCAGCGTGTTGGGCTGAATCACGTCGCGTAGCAGCTTCCATGCCTTCGGTCCGGAATCATCCAACTCCACCAAATCCTTGATGTGCTGGAACATGTCGTTGTTGACCGATTGGAGGATGAGGTCGTACAGCACCGCGCTCTTCTCAATCCACCGATCGCGGGCATCTCCTTCCCCCGGCATCTTCTCCTCTCCCATTGCAATTTTCAGTAGCTTGTAGCGCTTGAAGGCGCTCCGCATCCGCCCGCTCCATTCCTCATAGTTGGAGCCATCCAAAGCTTCGATCTTGGATGGTGGCGGTTCACTCCTCTTCTCAGCTGCATCTCCACTCACTTGATTCATCTCCTCTGCTCCCAATCAGAGGTTTCAGCTCCCCCTTTTGCTGGTCACAATGTAGATCCACACAATCTTCACAAGTGTCGGCGCCAACGAAATTTCGGCAGAGTTTCCCCTTAGCGGAAGTCACATCCAACCTCCAGAACTCCACTTAGGCACGTTCACAGGCCATGGTGGGTCTAGGAGGGTCTTCACACTTCAGTAGACTCTCCACAAAGTCCTTAATCAGCTCTGATACCACTTTTTAGAGACTAAGGACGGAGTCTATGAAGATTAGGAGCCAAAATATCTCAACATCGTTGGGCCTAGTTTCTGAACAGAAAAGTCGAGTTCACAAGAAACGCCGTCGACGAAAAGTGCACTGTCAAAACTTCACTAAACTCATTATGTTGTAGCCCTACTCCGTGGCTACAATTCCCAAGTTGAAACGTATCAAGAGGTGAAGTAAATCTCGACTTATCAATTTCGGCGCACAGGAGGGTATGCTGCCATAAGAACTTAACTCAATCACAAAGTTCACACAAGTTCACACAAGAGAATTGGAGTAGCACTAAACCAGGTGGAAGGGATGAGGAGGACGAGAGGGAAGGTCCCAAGGAGTCCCCAACCAAAGGAAACTCCATGCCACACAATTCCCTTCCCCATAGGCAACCCAACTTTGACCTTTGTCACTATCCCAACCTCCACAATCCACCTCAACCCAACTTGGCCACACTTGCCAACCTGGTTTGGTTTCTCCCAACCATTTGGCAGCAACTACAGTAGAAAAGACGAATTTCCCAACCCCCAAAAGTCTGTACCCCATATTGAGTCAACCCCACAACTTCCCATGGTCACCACAACCAAATATCAAAAGCATACGAACTCCAACGTTCGTAACTTTCTTGTTCGTGCTCCGATTGAAGCGATACTTGGTTCCTCGGAAAGCTCTTGAGCAGAGGAGTCACTTCAGATATCTGCTCAAGCCAAATAACATTCACACACACACACTCAGAAAAACCAAACCGCACAAAACACAAATTCTTGCACACACTCACAACACGCATGCAACGCACGAACATATGATGGGAGGCAGACAGACGTGAATGCGAATGGTAGCATCACTCAACACGGACTGACATGGAGCAGTGACGGAATCAGAGTGCTGGGTAGCCCGGTGGGGACCCCAGGTTACTCTTCCGAGGAAGTCCGCGCGGAGCTCGCCAAAGCCTCTGCCCCAGTGCCTCTCATCGCGCAGTTACATCCCCAGCACGCGCTACTGCTCCTCTCGCGCAGCATCTCACGCAGAATCTCCTATCTGCTACGCACAACGCCACTAGAGGCGCTGGTGAAGGAGGAGTGGAGGGCGTGGAGCGAATCCCTAGTCGGTGCCTCACTGGCGGCGGCAAAGTTGCGGGTCCCCACTGCAGAACTGGAGCAGAGTCTACTCTGGCGACAGGCAACCTTGCATGTACGCCTCGGGGGCATGAGCATAGTAGACCCAATCTCTGAGGCGCCCGCGGCACACATCGCCTCGATGACGGCGGCAAGACAGCTGTTGCACCAGATGAACCTGAGTGAGGTTCACCTTCTGAGCCGGGCGAAGACAATGTTATCCCACGAATGGGCACCTGATCCCCCGCTGGTGAACAGGCTCATAGCTTTGGAAGCTGTCCTTCCGGTCGAGGCCAAAACAGCACTGGACGCCTACAGAACCAGCCCCCAGGTGCAGGGCAACCTGCAGCTGCTACTGTCTAAGCACATCCAGGGTCGAAGGGCAGCAGAGCTACTAGCGGATACGATGGAGGATAGGCCGGGGGAGGAGGGTGGGCATGGGGTTCGGCTTGTTAGCCTGCGGGGGACCGGAGCGGGAGACTGGCTACACGCGCTGCCAATGAGATCTGACCTTACACTATCCCCTGGTCAGTTCTCTATGGCACTCGGTTTCCGCCTCGGCCTTGCCCTACCGGTCACTGTGTCATGCCCCTGCAAACGAGCCGGCTCCAACATCGCAGACACCAGCCTGGCCAATCACCTGCTTCGTTGTGGGGTGGGTGGTGATGTGATGAGGACTCACAACAGTTTAGTGTACGCGGCCCTCAGAATGACGAGAGAGGCGGGGTTCAACACTTTCCATGAAACTTCTGTTTTCTCTCCTCCCGTCCTTCACAAGCGAGCGTATCTGGCCTTTCAGGATAGGGAGTCAGCTGAGACTTGGGTCACAGATGTGACTGTAACCGACCCTGTGCTTCAAAAACGGGACCCGAGGGTGAGGAAGCCGCCAGGGTGGGCGGCAAGGGAAGCATCCGAGAAAAATCACCGTTTGTACGAGGGGAGGCCTAGCTACGTCGGTTTCTTTGGCCTGGCAGTGGAGACCTATGGTGCACTTGCCACTGACACTGCACAGTACCTCCGTCTCCTAGCGGTGGCAGCAGCCAAGAAGAAGTACCGCCAGGGACCTCTCACTACAACGGCAAGCCGCCTCACTGCACACTACAGACAGAGGTGGTCCATCATGCTGCAGCGCTCGCAGGCCATCTCCTTCTTCAACAAGTCCAACATGGCAGCAGAGGCGGCCTACCCTCAAGCCCCGCTGGACCCCTGGGAACCGAGCCTAGGGGACCTCTACACGGTGCTCGAGGATGACTTCGGGGGAGTCTAGAGCCTGGGACAGCGGGACCCGTCAGTGATGTGGGTGAGGGAGCTACTGGTAGTTTGGAATAGTGCAGGTGGCAGCCCGGGAGTTGACTAGCTCACGTGTTCAAGCTGATAGTTTGTGGATGCTTGTTTCTGTGTTTTGTTTACCTCCCGTCCCGTCTAGTATTCTTGCATAGGATAGCCATCCTGTTGGAACCTGCCCATGCCATGCCTGTACCTTATCAACTACATCAATGAAGGACCGCTTGAGAGAGAGAGAGAGAGAGAGAGAGAGAGAGAGAGAGAGAGAGAGAGAGAGAGAGAGAGAGAGAGAGAGAGAGAGATGGCTTAGGGTTAGTCCTTAGCCGTTTTTCACCCTCTCCTGCCTAGTCCTTAGTCCCTAGACGCTTCCAGGGCTGTTTTCCTAGTATAAAGCACCTAATGAGGAGTCCTTTGAGCTCATTCTTCACTGGTGAGTTCAGTTTACTCCCCAAAAACCGGCGGCTCGTTCGAGAGAGAGCGAGAGAGAGAGAGAGAGATGGCTTGGGGTTAGTCCTTAGCCGTTTTTCACCCTCTCCTGCCTAGTCCTTAGTCCCTAGACGCTTCCAGGGCTGTTTTCCTAGTATAAAGCACCTAGTGAGGAGTCCTTTGAGCTCATTCTTCACTGGTGAGTTCAGTTTACTCCCCCAAAACCGGCGGCTCGCGCCGGCCGCGTGAGGTGTGGCAAGGAGGAAGCACAGACAAGGATTATTAAAGCAAGGGGTACAACATGGACCACTAGCAACATCATACAACAATCAACACCCCCAAGCGTGGCGGTCCAGCCATGGGGAAGCCCAAGGCCAAGCCCAGTACTAAAGGGGCGGGCAAGGGGAAAACACCTGTCACTCGGCGAGTATCCAGCACAGCCTCCCGTCCATCCAACGCAGGACGGATGCGGCTGCTGATACAAGGCCGAGCGGGGCCTGCTGGGCGGACTCTGCAAGCCGCACAATCGCCCCAGGCCCGGGCCCGAGAGCTGCACCAGGGGCACCAGGGACAAGGCCGATCAGGGGGAGATAATGTAGCATCTCCGTTGACGCGGACACCGCTGCTGACTGCTCCGACAGTAACATCCCCCCAACCTCGACGCCTTGACGCGCCAAGCACACGTGGAGCTGGTCCAGAACGTATGACAACAAAGTCAAGCACGTCCCCACGTGCATTACGCGCTGCTCGACGTGGAGAGGCGTTGCTGCAACACGAGCGGGAGCAAGAGGAGCTGGGGGGACGGGAGGAAATAGCAGCACACGAGGAGTCGGCGGCTGATGCAGCTGAGGCTGGGGTAGCGGGAATGGGTTCGGGGGGGGCTGCTGAGGCTGCTGAGTCCGAGGTGGCGCCACTGGCGGAGACGGAAGCGGTCGCTGCGGCTGGGGTGACGGTGACGGTGAGGAAGGCGACAACTGTGGGGGAAGGGTCTGCTGCTGGGACAGCTGCCGCCTCTGACGACGGCTCAGCCTCACCCTCGGCTGAGCGCCCGAATGCGCCGCCGCTACCAGGGGACTAGGGCCAGAGCCGGGTTGGGGAGGAGTCACAGACGGTGTTGGGAGATTCGCCGTCACCGCTCGGGGCGGCGGAGATCGCGGTGGTCGTGGCTGAGGCAGTGAGGCGACCGGAGGGACCCCCGAATGAAGAGACTGCGCCGACTGCCGCTGCGTCCGCCGGTACGTCTGTTGCTGCCGCGGCCGCAAACAAGCAGGGGCACGCCCGGGCGGCGAGCGGAAGACTGGGTCCCGGGACCGGCGCCGCTGCTTGCACCGCTCGCGGGAAGACCGGGACCGAGGCGGCCTGGAGCAGGGCTGGGACCTGGCGCCCTGGGACCCCTCCTGGGCTGGCTGCTGCAAGGGCAGCCGCCACGAGAGCCAGAGCATCCGCCGCCATCTTCCTCTCGCCCGGTGATCAACGCTGAGGTGGATGAGGCTGAAGGTTCCGCGGTGCAACAAGCGGAAGTGACAGGAACGGCGGGAGCGGGAAACACGGCGGCACCAGCACCACAAAATACGCGGCACTCGCCACGTCTAGGCGCGATGACTTGGGGACCGCCGCGAGGAGGCCGAACGCCGTGGATGCCGGTCGGGCGGGGCGGAACTACGGGTAGCACGAGACCCCCGACGGGTAGAGGGAGAGGAGAGCGTGGGGCCGCTGGGCGTGGCGGGGGTGGAGGACGAGGAGCCCGCGGGGGACGGACGATCGTGGGCGGGGTTGAACTCCCAGTGCGGACGGGGCCCTGGCGGGAGAGGCACGATAGGCCAGAACTTGAAACTGCTCCAGCGAATGAGGAGGCAGCAGACTCTGACAACTCCGGGAATGACCCCGGGTTTATGGGCGGGGAGGAGGAGGAATCAGAGGATGTCTCACTGGAGGATGAGGAGGGAGAGGGTAGGAACACACCCAACAGGCGACGAAGGGCCCCGGGTGGTAACCCACCAAACCCCCCTCCCCCACCCCCCCCCCCCCCCCCCCCCGGCTAACAATGAAGGAGCGCCTGCCACCGAGGCGACGGATGTGCCATCGCCGGCCGACCTGGCAGACGTCGAAGCCATCTGGCAGACAGCGGGGGACTGGGACGTGACCCAGATGCAGCGTGGAGACCAGCCCTTCTTGGTTCGCCGCGTACCCCCTCAGATCCTGGACAGCTACTGCCTTTGCCTGCTGGCAACACTCCTTCGACTGAAGAAATTTCCCGACTGCGCGGGTGCCTGGAAGGTTCTCCAATTTCTGCCGAGACTGACCCTGCGCCCACCTCCCGAACCGGTTTCTGGAAGCAGGTGGGCTCGGATCGAGGCTCGGCTGCACCAATTCAAACTCGGCAATTTCGAGGAACTTTTCGAGGAAGCAAGTACCATCCCCGAAACGGATGCCCCGATAAGACACCAACCGGACGATGAGGGCCTCTGTGCAAGGGCTGAAGGCCTTATGAGAAAAGGCAACATTTCCAAGGCGGTAACCGCGTTACTCACCAGTCCCCTGGCAGAACCAACCCCCGCCACACTTGAGGCCCTCCTCGCGAAACACCCCCCGGCTACGTGCGACATCCCTTCGTGGGTAACAGGCACCACCTCGTCGGAGCTGTCGGCACCGATTGACTCTGTTCGCGAAGTACTGGCGAGATGCCCGAATGGGGTGGGCGGAGGACCTTCAGGAACCTGTTTCGAACACATTCGGGATCCCGTGCTAGCTAACGAGGAGATCCTAATCCTATTCACCCAGCTACTAAACCGCCTCCTTAGCAACTTCCTGCCTCAACCGATCCGTGACCTGCTCCTCCCATCGCGCCTCATTGCACTGGAGAAGCCAAATGGAGGGGTGCGACCGATAGCGATTGGGGAGGCCCTGCTCCGCGTTGAAGGCAGCATTACACGCGCTCGGCCCCAAGATCCGAGAGTTCTTCCTCCCCGTACAGTTTGGGGTGGCGGTTCAGGGGGGCGCAGAGTGTATCATACACTCGGTTTGGGCTCTACTCCAGGACGACAGGAACCGCATCGCAATGCAACTGGATGTAGAAAACGCCTTCAATAGCGTAGAATGGGTGGCGTTCTTCGGCGCGCTCCAGTGGTCTAACCTCAGCCCCTTACTCCCATTGGTCCGCAACCTCTATGATGGGCCATCGCGGCTCCTAGTGGATCCACGCCTGGGCACAGACTACATCCAGAGCTCGCGCGGGGTACGCCAAGGGGACCCACTTGGCCCTCTATTATTTGCAGCCGCCATCCAGCCGGCATTACTGAGTGTAGCGGCAATGCTGCTGGAGGTGGCGGTCGTCGCTTATGCCGACGACATCACGATAGTCGGCCCGCGGGAGGCGGCCAGCCTCGCCTTTAGCACGATCGCCACGACGCTCGCGGCGTACGGTCTCCGCTGCAACGTGGACAAGTCGTCGGCATGAGGAGGGGAATCTGGGCCGCAACCCGAGGAGCTACCACACGGTTTGACGGCGGACCCAGGAGGGATTCGAGTATTGGGCAGTCCGGTTGGAGATGCCGCCTTCTGCACGGAGCACGTCAGGACCGCCCTTGGAAAAGCAGCCGCGCCACTCCTCCTCATCTCGCAGATGCACCCGCAACACGCCCTCCTCATGATCTCCCGCAGCATCTCTAGGCGGATCTCCTACATGCTGCGGACGACGCCAGCAATGACACTGAGCCTTCGGGAATGGAGGGAGTGGAGCGAGGCCTTGGTGGGGTCGGCCTTAACAGCTGCAAAGCTACGGATACCAACCTCGGAGCTGGAGCAGAGCCTCCTGTGGCGCCAAGCTACGCTCCCCGTGCGGCTAGGCGGCCTAGGAGTCATCGACCCCACCTCCGAGGCGCCCGCAGCCTACCTCGCCTCTGTCACAGCAGCCCACACACTCCTGAGGCAGCTGAACCTGCCGCTGGATGGTCTGCTGAGCAGTCTCCCACGAGTGGACACCTGAACCACCTGCAGTCAACCCCAGAACCACCATAGAAGTTGGCCTTCCTGCAGAGGCACGTGGGGTATTGGAGCAGTACAGGACCGGGGCACAGGGCCAAGGGAACCTGCAGCTGGGGCTATCAAAGACCATAAACCAGAGGCGGGCAGACGAACTCCTGGCGGACACCCTCCAGGACAAGCCGGGCGAGGACAGAGGGCATGTCATCCGTCTCACCAGCCTGAAAGGGGTGGGGGCAGGCGACTGGTTGCATGCCATCCCAACGAGAGGCGACCTTACTTTCTCCCCTGGTCAATTCTCGCTGGCTCTAGGACTCCGCCTTGGCATGGAGCTGCCGGTCACTGAGGTCTGCCCTTGCAAGCGGGGAAACTCAAAAATTAGTGACAAGAGCCTCCCCAACCTCCTCCTGCGATGTGGAGATGGTGGGGATGCGGTCCGTACCCACGACAACCTGGTTTATGCGGCTCTGCGGATGGCTAGCGAGGCAGGGTACAAGACATTTCATGAGACGTCGGCCTTTTCCCCCCCTGTCCTTCGGAAGCGGGCAGACTTGGCCATCAGGGACCAGGAGTCGGGCGAGACGTGGGTCACAGACGTCACACTCACTGACCCAGTCCTGCAGCGGCGTGATAAGAGGGCGCGGAAGCCTCCGGGGTGGGCAGCAGAGGAGGCCTCCGAGGGGAAACACAGACTCTACGAGGGCCTCCTTGGCTATGCAGGTTTCTTTGGCCTCGCAGTAGAGACCTATGGGGCGATAGCCAAGGATACAGTGCAGTTCCTTAGGCTGCTAGCCACCTACGCGGCCAAGAAGAAGTACAGGCAAGGGCACCTAACGACCACTGCTGCCCGTCTCAACGCACACTACAGGCAGCGGTGGTCAGTGTCGCTCCAGCGTAGCCAGGCTGTCTCCCTCCTCTCCAAGTCGAACCGGGCCGACGAAGCAGCCTTCCCACAGACGGCGGCAGACCCTTGGGCACCTCGGCTTGGGGACCTATGGCAGACGCTAGAGGATGAGTACGAGGACAGGAGGTCCCCGGCTGTAGCGGCTTGAGAGGAGAGGGAGCTGACGGCACTTCAGGGGGAGTTCAAGGAGGAGGCCTGAGGGGTGGACAGCACAGGGCACGGGGCAGGGGCAAGTCAGGGGAGCCGTGACTAGCCAGGGCAGGAGGAGGATGTGCGGGTTGATAGGGCCTGGGGTTTCTGTGGGTATTTGATTTGGCGGTTGTTCTGTCTGCTCTCGTTTTGCTTGCTAGCATAGCTACCAATTCGCTTGCATGCTTGCCTAGACCAGTTAGTTACCTCCGCTCTGCCATGCCTGTACCTTATGACCTCTATCAATACATGACTGCTTGAGAGAGAGAGAGAGAGAGAGAGAGAGAGAGAGAGAGAGAGAGAGAGAGAGAGAGAGAGAGAGAGAGAGAGAGAGAGAGAGAGAGAGCCTTGGGCTCTGGTCCTTAGCCGTTTTTAGCCTAGTTTCTTAGCCTAGTCTAGTCCTTAGCCGTTTTTTAGACTACTTCCCTAGTATATAAGGCCTAGGTGACCCCTTTCCTCCTCATTATTCACTGGTGAGCTCACTCTGCTCTCCAAAAAATCGGCGGCTCGCGCCGGCCGCCTTCGGCGGCCGACGCTCGACAGCGCGGCCTTCGGCCGCGCGTGAGGTGTGACAAGGACATCAAGGGGGAAAAACACTATAAGGCACGGACTACACCATGCAGTGGTAACTGCCTAACACACCTATAGGCAAGGTAAGTCCCAAGCAATGGGGAGGAAGAAACAACAAACAAAGGCGGCAGCGGGTACAACAACGCCTACGGGTCGGGAGCAATCAGGAACATCCGCCGATCCATCCAACGGAGCGCAACCGCGAGGGCGGGTACTATCTCAAGGGGCGCCTCCTCGGCGGCCATGGCTACCCTGCGGAAAGCAGTCGCTCCAGGCCCTTCACTCAGCGACGGGTCTTCAGGCTCAAGGGGCAGGCACAGCATCGTCGACATTGCCTGAGCAGCGGCCTCCCTCACCACCCCCTGCTCGAACTCGCTCAGCTGCGGGTTCCGCGAGGCAAGGTTCCGCCGCCCAATCGCGTGGTTCAGCTGCTCCAACACCGTCGCCACGTTCGACAAACAACGCCCTACACCGCGCATCCGCTGCTCCCACCGGCAAAGGTCGAAGTAGCTCGGCTCCTCTCCCCACTGCCGGCCCCACACGTCCAGGTCCGGCTGCACGCCCCAAGGGGGGTGAGGCCCCCAGTGAGGGTCGGGATCAGGAGCGGTTGGTGGACGCTCAGGCGAATCCCATCCACGCGGGTAAGGGCGACGGGGAGGGGGGAACCGGAAGGCGGTCTGCGGGACGGTTGGCACGAGGGGATGCTGACGCCGAGGTTGCCGCCACGGGGGTGGCGCCGGCGGAGCAGGGTCTTCAACAAGCGCCTGAGGAGGAGCGACGGGAAGCGCAGCAGGTACATGAGGCGCCGTCTGGGGCGGCGCGGACTCGATCGGCGGCGGCACCGGCTGCGCTGGGGTTTCCGCCGAGGCCGGCGTTGACGGCTGCGGCAGCAAGGGCACAGGCGCAGAGGCAGTTGACTGCGCCAACGGCTGAAGGGCCGTCCCCGACGCTGACGAAGTCTGCTGCAGCGACGTCACAGGCTGGGACATTGGGGGCGGGAGCTGCAGTGGCTGGGACTGCGCAGCCTGGTTGGGAGGGGACTGACCCAGTGGTCGGACCGCTGGCGGCCCATACTGGCGCTGGGGACGAGGAGGGCGGCGGCGGCGGAAGGATTGCCCGCGAGGCCGTAGTTGGGGAGGTGCCCGTCCCCGAGAAAACCGGAACATCGGCAGGCGAGGAGCCGGTGAGGGAGGAGGAGGCTGGGCGACAGCGCCGCCAACCCCGGCCGCAACTACATCCGCGGCGGCTCGGAGAAGGGCTGGGACTTGCCCACCCTGGACCCCTTGCGGGATGGGAGAGGCAAGAGGACTTGCCGGACGGTCCGGCTGAGGAGGAGGTCGCCGCTTGCCTGTCATCCGGCCGGCCGGTGAACGCGGCGGAGGAAACCCGCAAGGAGGATGCCGACCTGGCGGAGGGAGCGGACCAGGAGGAGGAAGTGCTACGCCGGGCGGAGGCAGAACGCAGGCGGAGGACTGGAACGAGCCGTCAGCGAACACTGCAGGACCAGGCCGACGATCGCGCGGCAGGCCTACAGCCGTCAAACGCGGCGCCGAGGGCGGCGGGTAGAGGCAGGGGGAGAGGGCAGACCAGGGGGAGAGGTAGTCGAGATCTGGCGGGAGCTGTGGCGAGGGAGAAAGCCAGATCTGGTTTCTGGCGGGAACGACATGGGAGGCCAGAGGAACAGGGTGAGGAGCCAATGAATGAAGAAGAGAGGGAGGAAGGGTCAGACTATATGGCATCACAGGAGGCGGAATCAGAAGATACCCCGCTGGAGGCCGAACGGGGGGTGCCCATCCCAGCCACAGAGAGGGGACAGGGCTCTGGACAGGGACGGAGAGAGGAGGGTGCTGACGTGGGGGAATCCGCACCGCAGCAGCCCATCGCGGGCGCCAACGTGGCGGCCAGCAAGGAGCGAAGTCCCTCTGCCATCGTGGACGACGAGGGCACGTGGCGAATCTTGCAATTCCTCCCGAGGCTGACACTTCGGGCGAACCTCGAGAAAACCCCCGGGAATCGGTGGGCAGGTGTGGAGAAACGTCTCCGGCAATTTCGCGAGGAGGATTGGGACTCACTGTACAAAGAGGCTAGCACCTTCCCGGCAAACTCCAAACCCAGCCGTCACGAGCCGGACCCGGAGGGTGTTTGTGCCAGAGCGGAGGGGTTGGTTCGGAAAGCAAACCTGGCGAAAGCGGTGGCAGCGCTGCGAACTTCGCCGCTGGCGGAAACGTCGCAGGTAACCTTGGAGACACTTCGCACGAAACACCCCCGGGCGGAATCGGCGATACCCGAGGTTACCGGAGGTTACAACACGTCCGAGCTCGCCATTGGGGCGGAATCCTTTCGCGAAGTACTGGCGAAGTGCCCGAACGGAATAGGAGCGGGCCCATCAGGCACGTGCTTTGAACACCTCCGTGACCCAGCTCTAACAAACGGGGAGGTTTTTGTGCAGCTCCACAAAGTAGTAAACGGGCTTCTTAGCGCGTACCAGAACGTGCAGCTGCAAGACCTCCTGCTCCCAGCCAGGTTGATAGCGCTCGAGAAGCCGGACGGGGGCGTGAGACCCATAGCGATTGGCGAGGCAGTTCTTAGAATCACGGCCAAGGCAGCACTTCGCGAACTCGCGGCGGAGATCCGCGGGTATTTTCTCCCGGTCCAATTCGGCGTCGCCGTCCCCGGTGGGGCCGAGTGCATCATTCACACGACCCGCACGCTCCTCGCCGAAGATCCGTCAAGAATTGCGATCCAGCTGGACATAGAGAATGCCTTCAACTCAGTAGAACGGGGGTGCTTCCTAGAGTCAATGCAATGGACAGACCTCACCCCGCTCTTACCGTTCGTACGCACCCTATACGGCAAACCCTCAAGGCTCCTACTCGACAGTGGCTTTACAGCGCCTTCAATCGACAGCGCACGCGGCGTGCGCCAGGGGGATCCGCTTGGCCCCATGCTCTTTGCTGCGGCGATACAGCCGGCCCTCCTCACGACGGCGGCCGCAGTTCCCACCGTCACCATGATGGCATATGCGGACGACATCACAGTGATCGGCGAGTCGGCGGAGGCATCACGGGCGGTCACGATGCTGTGTGACAAACTACTGGGACTCGGCCTTCGGTGCAACCTAGCCAAGTCCACGGCATGGAGCCCCTCAGGGGTCACGGGAAACCTACCGGAAGGACTGGTGGCGGCGGTGGATGGTATCAAGGTGTTGGGGAGCCCAATTGGCACGTTGGCGTATAGCAGGCGGGTGGTGAGGGCGACGCTGGAGACTACAGCAGCACCGCTTGGGCTCATCGGCAAGCTCCACCCCCAGCACGCACTGCTGTTGCTGACACGGTGCATCTCCCGTAGGGTCTCGTACCTGCTGCGAACCACGCCTGCGGATGTGCTCCCACTAAGGGAATGGAGGGAATGGAGCGAGAGGCTCCTGTGGACGGCGCTCAAGGCGGCACACTTACACACGCCGGCAAAGGAGATAGAGCAGAGCCTCGTGTGGAGGCAAGCGTCGCTGCCGATCGCCCTGGGCGGGCTTGGCTTGGTGGACCCCCTCTCGGAGGCCCCTGCAGCGTTTCTGGCATCGCTGAGCGCGGCACAGGACTTGCTGCTGCAAGGAGCCGACACACAGGTCCACCCTCTCCAACGAGTGGCGGCGCTGCTGTCGCCACACGAGGAGGGAGGGGCGAGTGGGGGGAGGACGACCTTGCAAGATCTGCGAAACAGGCTCCCCGAACCAGCGCGTGAAATCCTGCGGGAGGCCGGACGGGGGAGGGAGAAGAAGGGCCACCTGCAGGAACGGCTGTCCAAGCAAGTGAACCTGGACAGGGCGGCGGAGCTGGTGGGTGACACGCGGATTGACAAGCCGGGGGTGGACAACGGCCACGTGGTCCGGCTGATTGCCCTGCAGGGGACGGGGGCTGGAGACTGGCTGCACGCAATCCCCACGCGCGCGGATCTGACCTTCTCCCCTGGCCAGTTTGCCATTGCCCTCGGCTTCCGGCTGGGGCTGACACTGGCGGTGACAGAGCAGTGTCCCTGCGGCAAGCCACGGTCGAAGATAGATGACCGTAGCCTACCCAACCATCTGCTGCGGTGCGCGGAGGGGAGGGACAGGACCAACACGCACAACTGCCTGGTGTACGCTGCCCTTCGGATGGCCAGGGAGGCCGACTACATGACCATCCACGAGACCTGTGCCTACTCGCAAATTGTCAACCCTAAGCGAGCGGACCTGGTCCTCGTGGACAGGGAATCGGCCGAGACCTTCGTGACTGACGTCACCATAACCGACCACGTGCTGCAGCGTAGAGACACCCGGGCTGTGAAGCGTCCTGGCTGGGCAGCAGAGGATGCGGCAAGGACGAAGAGAGGGCTGTACGAGGGGTGCCCAGAGTTCGTGAGGGTGTTCGGGCTGGCGGTAGAAACCTATGGGGCTTTGGCACAAGACACCCAGCAGTTCCTACGCCTCCTAGGCACCCAGGCGGCCAAGAAGAAGCACAGGCAGGGGAGGCTGACCACGGTCGCCTCCAAGCTCACGACACACTACCGACAGCGCTGGTCGGTGATGCTCCAGCGCGGCCAGGCCAATACCCTGCTGGCAAAGTCCAACAGGGCAACTGAGCGTGCATACCCCCAGGCCCCAGTCGACCCGTGGGAGCCACACCTTGGGGACCTCTGGCAGGTCCTTGAGGACGAGCTGGACTGGGGGCCGGACCTGGATGGGTGAGGGGGCTGGAGTAGAGGAGCTGGAGGAGGGAGGAGGACCCCAGGCGGCGGCCCTTGGGGCTAGGCACTAGGTAGGCTGCATGGCAGTCCTGGCCATCAGCAGGCATGCTTAGGATGTGGCTGTTGTGGCTGCCCCTTGCTTGTTTGTTGGTTGTTGTTTGCCTAGATTACAAATTTAGGCTTGCTGGCTCACTTGTGCCATGCCTGTACCCCGCTGATTATCAATGAAGGACCGCTTGAGAGAGAGAGAGAGAGAGAGAGAGAGAGAGAGAGAGAGAGAGAGAGAGAGAGAGAGAGAGAGAGAGAGAGAGAGAGAGAGAGAGACATGCCTGTACCTTATGACCTCAATCAATACATCTTGGATGCCCGTCCCAACAGCTTGGTCCTGCAAGCCGACATTTCAAATGCATTCAACAGCATTTCGCGACAGGCCATCGCTAATGCGTTACAAGAGCCCGGACTCTCGCCTCTGCAGCCGTTTGTGAAACTGACCTACGGTAACCCGTCGCAACTGCTCCTGGACGCCAATTTCAACTGCGAACCGCTGCAAAGTGAACGGGGCGTTCGGCAGGGGGACCCCCTCGGCCCGTTACTGTTTGCAGCAGGGATACACCCCGTGCTCTGTGCGATCGCAGAGGCACACCCGGACGTGCTTTGCTTGGCGTATGCGGACGACGTCACATTTCTGGGGGACACATCGAGCACTGTAGCAGCTTTCACACATTTCACAGACAAGCTAGCACATCTGGGCCTAACGCATAATCACCAGAAATGCGCGGCCTAGAGCTCAACCACAGTCACACAAGCTCAACTCCCGCCCGGTTAGCCGTTTTCCAAGGACGGAGTACGGCTCTTGGGTAGTTACGTAGGGACGGACGCTGGAGCAGCCAAGTTTCTATCAGGACAGCTAGACGAGATGGCGAAGCCGTTACCGCTTTTAGAACGTGCCGACCCCCAGGTAGCCGCACTGCTCCTCACGCGATGCATCTCCAGACGAGTAGCCTACCTCATTAGAACGACACCGCTCCGCCTTCTCCCCCGCGACACCTGGAGCCAGTGGGGTCGGGACCTGCTCGTTACCTTACTCACCTCATGCGACATCCGCCTGCCAACGTGCCGCACCGAGCAAGCGCGTGTGTGGGAACAGGCGTCGCTGCCAACGTCGCTAGGCGGCATAGGCATCACAGACCCGCTCATAGAAGGAGTCTACGGTTTCACAGCGAGTTTCACCCAAGCGGCGCTATTCCTGTCCTCCCTGGCGCTAGAACCAGAGAACGCCTTGACGATCGCTCGGAACCATATGCTACTGCCAAGGGATGACAGCACACCGATGCATTCATGGCTCACGGAGTGCGAAGCGGCCCTGCCACTAGACGCGCGCGAGATCCTGGAGAAAGAGCGGCTGGAGCGATCGGATATTAGGCTACAACACGTGCTCGGGCTAAAGGTGCATGGAAGCAGATACGCCGTGCAGGTCCAGGCAACCAGGCGCATGCGGCTGAACCCACTCTCAGGCCACACGCAGCGGATGTTCTCGCTGACCGGATATGGCACCGGTGATTGGCTGACCGCGATCCCCATTGAAGCCACGAGGCGGATAGGCCCCGTGCACTTCGCCAACGCCGTTCGCTTTCGTCTGGCCCTCCCCTTTTCAACCCCTAAGAACTGCGACTGCGCAGACCAGACAGCTATCACTGATCCCCGCCTGCCGAACCATCTCCTCCGCTGCGGCTTGGGCAAGCATCGCATTAACACTCACAACGAGCTACGGGATGCGTGCATTAGCATGGCGCAGCACGCCGGATTCATAGTTCACGGCGAGTCGGCCGTCCACTGCCCTATCGAGGAACAAACCGCCGATTTCTCCTTGACGGATAGAAGCAGTGGGGCGGTTTACGTTTGTGATGTCACCATCACAGACCCCATAAGCACAAGGGACCCAGAGGCGCAGAAAGGCAGGGGATGGGCGGCACGGGAACAAGCAGATAAGAAGATCAAGCATTATGCCAACCGGCCGGAGACGGTTGGTTTTTTCCCACTGGCAGTAGACACCTACGGCTGCCCATGCGCGGAAGTTCCTGTCTTCCTAAAGCTACTCGCGGACACGGCGGCTCGGCGCCATTTCAACGCCGACTCTAAATCCTTTTATGCCGCCAAGTTCCTGCACCAGTTTCGTCAGCGATGGTCAGTGGCCCTTCAGAGGGCCCAATCAGTGGGTCTTCTACTCAAGTTGGGCGAGGCGGCAGCAGCAGAGAACCCGCCTGTAGGGGGTATTGGTCAAGAGTTACACCTAGGGGACTGTTTTGCGGTGGTAGAGCCCTTCTTGGAGCTCTAGGGGAATAGTGAGTAGGAATTGGTGCTTTGTTTGTTACATCCATACTCTGCATGCTTGTACCTTGCTGCTATATCAATACAAGGACCATTAGAGAGAGAGAGAGAGAGAGAGAGAGAGAGAGAGAGAGAGAGAGAGAGAGAGAGAGAGAGAGAGAGAGAGAGAGAGAGAGAGAGAGAGAGAGAGAGAGTTTGGGCGCAGGCGTCGCTACTATCGTCCCTAGGCGGGCTAGGCATCACGGACCCACTGGTAGAAGGCAGTTACGGATTCATAGCCAGCTTCACACAGGCGGCGCTTTTCTTTTCCTCCCTCACGCTAGAACCGGACACTGCCTTGAGACGAGCCCACAGCCACATGATACTGCCCCGAGATGTCAACACCCCGCTTCACTCCTGGCTCACAGAATGCGAATTAGCTATGCCCTTGGACGCACGCGAAATACTCAATAAGGAGAGGCTCTCTCGCTCGGATATCAAGCTCCAGCACACGCTAGCCCTTAAAGTCTAGGGTAGCAGGTACGCCGTGCAAGTCCAGGAAACGAGACGCATGAAGCCGAACCCCCTCTTCGGCCACACACAGAGGATGTACTCACTTACCGGATACGGCACCGGGGACTGGCTGACGGCAGTCCCAGTAGCCACGTCACGACGCATAGCCCCGGTGCATTTCGCCAATGCCGTGCGTTTTCGGTCCCCTTCTCCACCCTGAATAACTGCGATTGCACGGAACAGACTGCTATCACGGACCCGCGCCTCCCCAATCACCTCTTCCGCTGTGGGACGGGTAAACATCGTACTAATACCCACAACGAACTGCGTGACGCATGCATCAGCATGGCGCAAGACGCGGGGTTCATCGTCCACAGGGAGTCCAGTGTTTACTGCCCTATTGAGGAACAGACGGCTGATTTTACCATGACAGACAGAAGCAGTGGGGCGGTCTGGGTGTGTGACGTGACAATCACGGACCCTATCAGTACTCGGGACCCAGAGGCACAGAAAGGCAGGGGATGGGCGGCTCGAGAGCAAGCTGACAAGAAAATTAAGCACTATGCCAACCGGTTCAGGCAGAGGTGGTCGGTTGCCCTACAGAGGGCGCAATCCGTGGGGTACCTGCTCAAACTTGGTGAGGCGGCGGCCGCAGAGAACCCGCCTGTAGGAGGGATAGGGCAAGAATTATATCTAGGGGACTGTTTTACCGTTCTAGAGCCTCTTCTAGAGCTCTAGGGGACTTAGCAGGGATGTTAGTTTAGGCTTCTTTGCATGATAGTACTTTGCTGTTTTCCATTGCATGCTTGTACCCTCCTGGCTTATCAATACACGGACCATTAGAGAGAGAGAGAGAGAGAGAGAGAGAGAGAGAGAGAGAGAGAGAGAGAGAGAGAGAGAGAGAGAGAGAGAGAGAGAGAGAGAGAGAGAGAGAGCTGGACCAGGGGTTGGAGCCGGGGTGAGTGGTACTCTTTGGCTAGGGTGGAGTTGCAACCTAGCTACTGTGGGATTCACTGCATCTCTGGTGCTTGACAAGCTGTTGGCTGGCTTGCTTAGCCCCATAATGGTTTTCCGGGGGTCAGCCCGCCTTCTAGGTCCGCTAGCTTGCTTGCTGATGTGCTTGGCTGCTAGACTAGTTTGCTCACCAACTTGCCTAGCACCTTGCTAGTCTGACCAGATGCATTGCCTATCCTCAGCCG